CCCCACCACCACCACCACCCCCGCATGTCCCATCCCTTGACTTTCAGCCCCTGGCCAGCCAGTGATCTGCTGTCACCATAATTTTGTCCTTTCTAGAATTTCTTATGAATGGAATCCAACAACACGAAGTCTTTTTGTGGGCATGGAGGGTGTGGCTTCTTGGCATGATGTTTTTAAGACTTAGGTTACTGCTTGCATGGGGAGTTTGTTCCTTTTGATTACAGAGTAGTATACCACAATTTATCCATTTACCAACTAATGGTCACTGTGTTTATTAAAGTTTGGGACTATTAAAAAGTTGCTGTGAAATGTTTGTGTATATGTTTTTACAATATGAATATACTCATGTTACTTAGATACACATAGAATTTTATGACCGAACTGTTAGTTTGATATATATTCTTCCAGCTTTTTCTCTCTGAAATACATTATGTCTTTATAAACTTTCATGAGATTTTACACTGCTAAGCAGCATCTTTTTCAATGTATTGGTCATCTTTGAATATCAGTTGTCAGATTGGCCTGGCATAGGTATCTGACCAGGTAGGAAAAGTCTAGATCAGTAGCCCAAGGCTGGATTCCTGTGAGGCAAAGATCAGACACACGGCCACCCTGCAACCTTTTTTACTAATTTTGACAGAAACGGTCTTTCTGACGGCCCTACTTCACTCCTAGGTTCAGTAATATGTTGCAATGGCCTCACAGAACTCACAGAATACATTCACAATTAGAGGATTCACCAATGAAGTAGCAGGTTACAGCTCAAGATCAGAAACAACTCCAGTTAAAGTTTTTGTTGTTCAACAAAAAAGCTTCTTCTCAATCATGCCCACAGGCAGGCTTTCCTCTGGTCTGTCAGCCCAGTCTCTGCCCTGCCTTGGGAAAGTGTTACAAAACTCCACTTCTCCAATAAATGCTCAGAGACAACCCACACAACTAGCAGCCTTCTGCCCAAAGTTGCTCAGCTCTCTCTGTCCCATATTCACTGTTTAACACATGTCAAAATAATTTATAAATTCTCAAGGGCTCATGAAGGAGGGGAGAGCGGGGAGGGAGGGGGAAAAATGAGGAGCTGACACCAAGGGCCCAAGCACAAAGAAAATGTTGTAAGACTGATGATGGAAACAAATGTACAAATGTGCTTGACACAATGGATGTATAGATTGTGATGAGTTGTACGAGCCCCCAATAAAATGGTTTAAAAAAAAAAAAGAATGCCTCATCTCCTGAAAGCTAGGATTTGGAAAAACCACCACTCTCAGTCCTGCTTGGAGTAAAGAATAGTATAACCACTTTGTAGAACAGTTCGCCAATTTCTTAAAAATTTAAACATTTACTTACAAGATGATCTGGCCATTCCATTTGTACCAATTATTTATTCAGAAAGAAATATGTCCAAAGGCATGTAAACAGATTTGCATAGTTTTATTTTTTAGGCATAGTTTTATAATAGTCAAAAACTAGAAATATGTGCTTATCAACAGTAAAGGATTTTTTTAAATTATCTTATGGGACCCTACTTAGTAATAAAAAGGGATGAGGTACTGAATAAATAAAAATCATTCTAAGTGAAAGACATCATATCCAAGTAGAGCTTAATTCCATTTGTATAGAACTAGAAAATACAGCTAGTCTACAGTGACAAAAAACAGGTCAGCTGTAATTTGGGAAGGCAGGGCAAGCAGTAGTAGGAATGCAAAAGCACATGAGATGTTGGGGGTGATGATTATGTCTAGCTTGATCATAATGATGGTCTCACAGGTACATATGTGAAATCTCCCAGGCCCTCCTCAGGAGAAGTGGCAGTCTGCTTCCATCAAGATCACAGCCTTGTTAATGCTCTGGGACAGTTCTATTGTCGTAAGGACCACTAGGAATTGGAACAGACTTAATGACACCCAACAACAACCAAGCTGTTGAAAACACAGATTCTTCGGCTTCATCAAATTATTTGTCCACTTTATTAGACCAAAATCAGTCATTTCAATAGTTTACTACTGATGTCTAAAACTCCATTCACTAGTATAGCATCTCTGGAATATAAAGGTGCTACTTTTCAAAAGTTTTATCGATCTAGAAGCAGTGTACACTACAGTGTATCCATGTTTGTTGACACAGAACAAAACAGCAGGAACAGCAAGAAGATGAGAGAGCCATGAAGCTTACTTAGTTCTCTCATCGTCCAAGGGAAATGATATGATGACTAAAATGTGGAGGACCGTGTCCAGTCACTTAAGGATTTAATCTGTACACATCAGTAATCCATGTATTGTGACTTGTAGCCAGCCGAAACCCGGTTAGTCTCTCCTTTTCTCAATTGTGTTTTAATACATGAGCATGGGCTATATCAATGGCACCATAAACAGAAAGACCTTATGCTCCAGGGAGATGATTGATAATGTTCTCTAATATAAAATAACAAAATAAATATTAATAAATATTTTATTATTAATAAAATAATAAAATAACTGCAGCGTGAGATTCAGATGGACTCCCCAATGCTGCTGGCTGACCTGCCTGATCTCCAGGATCCCTAAGGCTCCTAGCTTGTGCCTTGCCACCAGGAAATGGGCCCAGCTCTAGGTCCATGGGAGTATTCTTGAGAACCGGAGCCCTGAGCCAGCAGGTGAAGCTCAACATGGATTCAGCAGATTCATCTCAGACCTACACTACAGCCTTAAGCAGCCACTGAGCCATGGCAAGATTGGGGGACTCCTACTGCCTCATGTTATCTTTTCAGTATTGTATTTTATTATGCATTTTTTACACTCTCTTTTTGTCAATAAAACGAGGTCTGTGAAATACAAGAATCCGTTCAAAAAAAAAATCAGTTTAGATGTCTCTAAACTGGAGGCATATATAAAACTGTGCATTTTCTATATCCATATCAATATGGGATTTAGGGCTCACACTTAGTCCTACCTCCAGTCTTAAGAATAATGAATTCTTATGACATGGCTCTGCTCCATACACGCCCTCATGAAGAGAACACGGAAGATATGGGCGGTCCAGTAAAATGTGGTGAAGACACTAAACGGTGTCCAGCTATCAGAATACACATTTGGGGTCTTAAAAGGCTTTTCAAACAAGTAGCCATCTAAGTGAAACATCACCCAAGTCCACATGGAAGGAGCATACCAGCCTGTGAGATCCAAGAATTGTAAATAATGTAATCCAAATCTGAAGGAGGTAATTATGTCAGAGCTTAAATTGTGAAAGTCTGGTTTCAGAAGGCTGCGGATGACAATGGAAACGCAGAGCACATTTGCTGGATCTAGCTCAGAATGAGCCTCCAGTGATTTCCCTCTGACCATAATTAAGAGATGGGACTATTCTGGTTATCAGACAGAGAATACTGTAGAGACAATGATAGTAGACTAAAATGAAACACCTGATTCAAATGGTTAAGACATAACATTTTGTAGTATTAAATAAAATATAAGTGACGCTGAGGGAGGGTGAGGGGACCAGCCCCCACCCGCTGCTAGAACTTACTGGTTCAGTAATACTACTTCTGGGTT